CTGCAGAACAGGAACCTGCTGTAAAACAGCGATTATGCTGAGTCAGGCTTGATTTTTAGTAATCTTTTCCTGTTAAATAGAAAAAAAACACAAAAAGATGCAATTGAGTAGCTTCTCATTTGTTAAACATGCTGAAAAACACGTCCTGTGTTTGTGAAAAATATACTAATCTGTTTCAGATGGGTCAAACTATTTGTATCAAGCAGAGAAAACTTTTAAGGAGATTGCTGTAACTAAACTAAAATCAGATTCATGTAGAAGGTCATGTGGTCTGATGAGTCCAGATTTACCCTGGTCCAGAGTCTTGGATCATCAGGGTAAGAAGAGTCAGTTGAAGTGAAGCACCCATCATGCCTACTGTCAGTGGTGGACAAAGTACTCAACTCTAGTACTTGAGTAAAAGTACTGATACTCATGGTCAAATTTTACTCAACTACAAGTAAAAGTTGTTCGGTCAAAATCTACTTAAGTTAAAGTACTGAAGTACTTACTTTTGAAAATACTTAAGTATTAAAAAGTGCATGCCTTCACGTATCCAAAAGTACAAATTAAAAACTCCAATATCAGCATATTGCTGTATTGTTTTCAGAGGGATTTTACAGAACCTTAACTCTCAGAAACCACCTGATGTACTAACAGGTAGAACCACTCTACTACAAATTCTGCACCACCTGTAAAGACTTCAGCATAAAAATGCAATAAAGTGAGTTTTTAAATGCAAAAATGTAGTTTATCCACAGTGAAAACATAAGACATTTAAACTGATACGAAATATTTTTCAGTTCTGAAATCTCAAACATCGAACTGATATGACCATGCTGCTCTGGTTTCTCCATTTGAGTTTCTTCAACCGTCTCCATTGCTGGGTTCTGTTTGAAATGAAGGTGGGAGCTCAGCTCCCCACCACTGAGGATGATGTTCCAAATCTATCCCATGTGTGAGCTWTGACTGTGATTGGTTCCCATTGTGAGAAACATAACGTGTGGCCAAATGCATTTCAGGAAAGGAAAACAGCAAAAGAGGATCACAAAGCTAYGCTGAACCAAAAGTAAAGATTAACTTACRAGCTTCTAAGAAATGTAGTAGAGTAAAAAGTACAATATTTGTCTTTGAAATGTMGTGGAGTGAAAGTTATAAGTACCCCAAAAAATAATCAAGTAAAGATACTCAAAAATGCACTTAATTACAGTACTCAAGTAAATGTACTCCATTTTCCACTACTGCCTACTGTACAAGGCAGTGGGGGCCAGTATGTATAGGTCCAGCACATATGTGCCCAAATATGGTTAGCTGACTACCATGAACATACTGATCACAGATTATCCTATCAATGGATTACCTCTTCCCTGATGGCATATTCCAAGATGACAATGGATTCACTGGGACCAGATTATGGAAGATTGGTTCAGGGAACACGAGGTATCATTTTCACACATGGCTTGGTCTCAACAGAGTTCAGACCTGAACCTCATTGTTAGGATGTGCTGGAGATTTTTCACAGTGGTCTGAACCTCCATCTTCAATACAAATTCTTGGCGAAAAAGTAAAACTCTGGACAGGAAATGTATGTGTTGTTGTAGAAGGTTGTGGAAATAATCYCACAGTGAATACATGACATAATCATAAGTAAAAGTGGTCAAACAAAAGATTAGTGTTACCTTTATTTTGGCTGGGCGGCGTAGAACTAAAAAWATAACAGCTTTTTGTAAAACGACTGTTTTGATGAGCAGAACTGAAAACTGCGAAGTAAACAAAAAAAAAAAAAACTAGAAAACACAGGACTCTAGATCCACCTAAATTACCCATTTTGATTTTAAATCAGATCCGATTTGTTCTCTAATACCATAATATTGTAGCTCCAACTGCAAAAGCACACTGGTTGGTCACAATGAATACCTAGAAGAAAAGCCATGGGAAGAAATTTCGATTTACAATTATTTAATTCATGTCAACTGTAGTTTACAAATGGGAAAGACGTACCATTTCCATAAATGTACAATACAGAAATAAGGACCCACACAAATCTCTTCTGCAGTTTTTAATATTTGGAGCAGATTTTCAACCAACTTGGGWGGATTAAAGTGAGTGCAATAGAAGAATCAGATTCTTTCTTTAGACCCAGTATTTGAGCAACCAGGTATAATTACATAACAGGCTATAACCAAAGATATAAAATGCTCAATTAACGGTTCATCTGAGGTGACGCAAAAGGACTTTTGTTGCCCCATATATTACCCATCCTGCTGCTGAGGGTTTCAAAATGTCTTTCATTGAATTTTGACACGGTTGGTGTTTTTGGTTACTTAAATCAGTTGGCTAGCATTCAGTCTGGAAAAAAAAAGAACCTCTGAATGGGTGAGTTTAAATGCACATAAACAAAAAAGTGTCTTTGCAGTAAGGTCATATTCGCCATCTTCTTCAGTGGAGATACAGAACATTTTCCCTCATTTTATCTTCATTTAATTTTTCAYTACCCAGGTTGTGTGAACAGGACCACTCATAATATTTGAGAAGTTTTATTGTTCTTTTTTTCCCCTCAATATTTTTTTTTACAACAATACAGACATCACAGATTACATAGTTTTACAAACACAAAGCACATCACCACCTTGGCTGCTGATGCTGCTGCGGTA